GTGGGTGGGGGGATGTTTTCTCACCTTAAAGTCTTCATTTTCTGACATTTCCTGAGGCTGGCTCCCAAACATTGTGCACCCACATCTGATAGCTTGTTATACTTCACGCTGTCGGGAAAACAAGTTGCATTGTAGGTGTCATTTGGTCACTTCACGAATACATTTTAAAGATGCAAGTCACGGAGTCTTACTCGAGGTCAGTCAATGATGCCATGTGAGGGAGGACAGCGGCTAAAGTGGCGGCACCTTCATCACAAATCACATTGCTGTAGAGGCTGGAAAAAGAGGCAAAGAAATCTTCAGTATGGCAAGTCTACTCTCCCAACGCGTGTTTGTTTTTGTTTGAACGTGTGATGACGTACATTAAGCAGTGCAATTTGGGTAGATCTTTCAATGCTGTTGCCATTTTTTTGACCCCATCATCTCCGATGTAATTCTGTGACAGACTGCAAACCACAAAGCAGAAGTACGCACTTGGGACACAATAGATTATTGTCACGATAGCATTGAAACAATTTCTTTCAGATATGTATCCTTCCCCAAAATGTTTTCACATCTTTGTTTAAAACAGGATTGAAAGCTCTCGCAACGTACATGAAGTGCCTCTTTCTCCAACCGCTACCGTTTGCATTAGAGTGTGACCGATTTAATTCGGTGATCACGACAGCGTAAAGGAGCACCTAAGTGTTCATACTCACTTGAGTATCTGCAGAAAACAGAGGGAGGCAAAATGATTAGCCAACTGCTCGGCGCCGTTGTCGCCAATCTTGTTGCCCTCCAAACTGACAGGGAGAAAGATCAACTTGGTCAGACATGTGGAGTGACCAAAACAAAAAAAAAAAAAAAAAACAGTAGAAAGTTTTATATTACTCGAGGTGCTGGAGGTCATGTAAATTTGGGAGAAACTCCCAAAGTTTGGGGATAGCCTGAGGCCCGCGCTCTGGACCAATCCTAGGAGGAAATAGCCAGAAGTGACACCATCAGGTTAAGTTAGATAGTTTCAGTTCCGCGGTTAAATAACATTACGACAAAAGACAGCAAGCGAAGCGTTAGTTCCTGAGGATTTTCACCCCGAGAGAAGAGAGTTACAAATGCCGGGGCATAAATCCCAAAGCTGCCACCAACGTAGTGTGCCACCTGCAGGCCGCTTAGAAACCCTCTTGGATGAATAAACCAATCATGGAACCTTTGAAGCGAAAATGCTGGCGCCCGGTTTTACGATTTTTTCATTCAAGCCTCCCACCGAATTACGTAAAATGACGGATATGAAGATTCAGTATGAGCACCGACTCGGATGGTTTCCTTGGTCGACTGTGACACGTTTGATCATTTCGTTGGTCAGATGTGACAAGACCATATCACAATTAAAGCATGGGAAAAAATAAATCCTCGTTTATAATCCGGAAATGACGGTAGTACTATTGCAGAGGTACTCACTCGAACTCCAGTTTGCGTAGCTCCTTGACCGCTGGAACGCCGTTCTCCAGGATGGCGTCAAGTTCGCCGAGACTTCAGATTAATACCCATTTTAATGCCGTGCGTGCGTGACAGTGTACGGCGTCAACCAATGTGTGTGTGCCAGTTACCAGTCCGACAGCCTCCCGTGCGTGTGAATGTTCACAAGCTTGGCCAGGTGTTCTATTTGGCGCACTTGCATGACCTTCATTGGGTGGATCTTGAACTTGGTCACAAAATGTTGAAGGGGCTTCCTTTCACCGCTCTGCTCTAACTGCTCCCACAGGGCGATGACATCAGCGATGCAGGCCCTAGACAAAAACACGCAACTTTCATGATCACTTTCGAGCAACTTGACTATTTGTCGAGAGTAAGAAGGGACGGTCAAGCCAACCCATACCTGTATGTAGTGCAGCTGCCAAGACCCACCAGGGATCTGAGTCCTGGAATCGGTATCCCGGTGTTCTCGAGGTCCAAAGAAAATGTTCTACCTCCGTTTTCAGCCCTTTCAAGAATCTTCTGCACCACGTATGCGTCGAGCGGGCCAAGTGGCACTCCGCGAAACGTGAGGACCTCCGGTAGGTTTTCTGCCAGGTGAGTGACCAGTGGTGCCTCGCCACCGTCACCGCCGCCGTTGTCATACGAGAAACTTGCTTCGAAAGCATAGTGGCACACTTCCAGGACCTGATCGGGGCCCAGGTCGGCAAGGGAAAGACCCTCAAAACGTTCGGTGAATAAGGCACGCTTCCCGGAGTTTATGTCGAGATGAAGCTTGCGTAACTCGGTTGGTTTAAGGAACAGGATGCCAAACGCAAAACGCCGAGTGAGCTCTTGCACTTCTCCTTGGGGACGTCGGCGTCCCTTTAGGCCAGGCTGGGAAAGGAGGTTCTGGAGGAAGTACTGGGACCAAACATTTCTGGGGAAAGAGGAAAGTCAGCTCAGTCTGAGTCACGACAGACATCGGATTCAAAACAGGATATGAGTTGATGAAAATGAGTCACCTTGCCGTGGACAAGTGGAGTCCTGCCAGGTAACTCTGAAGGAATGGATCCATCCACATCAAGACATCGTCATCGCTGACATTTTCTTCTATGTGGGTCCGTCGTCGATGTTGCCTTTGTTCTGCATTTTCACTTTCAAATAGCCTTTCCACTTCTCCTTCTCTTTCCTTCCTCTCGCAACAGGAGCCGAGCTGTCCTGCAGTCGCGTGGTGAGCACGGAAGAATCCCTTCCCGAGTCCGAATGTCTTGAGTTTTGAGCATGAACTTGCTTCTTGGGGGAGGACGGACACGTTGGCTTTCACTCCTTCCCAGGCCAGAGAGCTCAAACGGGACAGCATTTCTTTTTCACCAATTTCCCCATGAGCGGTTTTAATCTCATCGGTTTCGATTGGATCCTTCCCCCTTGACTGCCCTGTTCTTTTCTTCACCTGAGCTCGCCTTGAGCCTTGCGATTCAGCCCAAGGGCAACGGCCCCGGTTGTCATTTTTAATTTTAATACAAAGCACTTGATGGCAGAGCTCAGTTAAAGTCCTCGGAAGGCCCTCTGAGCCTTCGGTATGTTCCAAAACCAAGCACACCAGTCGACAGATTCCAGGATTCCAACAAAGATGACGTAGATAGCTGGACTTTTCAAAGCATTTCAAAGCAGAGTCCCTGAGATCAGGATCGGCAAAGTACCTGGAAAAATATGCTTCGATATTTGGAAGGGTGAATCCATGAGCCTCCAAAAGGCAGTCCATTCGCTGCGCGAGTGGGCAGGCGGTGGTGCCTTTGGGTCTGGCAGAAATCAGAAGAAAGCATCCTGGAAGTAGCACCCTTTGGAGGATGGCAGAGTACAGCTGTCTAACTGTAAAGGACTTTGCTTTCGTCTCTCTCTCGAACAAGGCTGTCAAGTTTTTTTCTTGAAACAGAATGTCATAATCCCGAGAATCAAATCCATCAAAAATGATCAGCACACGTTTAGGGGATGCAAGGACTTGAGCGTACACTTCCTCGGTGTTTATAACGGAAGTGGCGACGGTAGCGTGGTCCAGTAGTAAAGTCTGAAGACCGCAGCACGACTTCCTTGAAGAGATGAGATCTTTGCCGTCCAACAAGAAGACAAAATCAAACTGGGGGAGGCCGTCTCTGCTCCAGTCATGGCACAGCTTCCTGATGAGGGTGGTTTTTCCCATGCCTGCTTTACCGAGCAGGAGGATATGTCGTTTTGGTTTATCTCCGGTGGACTTCTCAAATATCTATCGAAAAGAATGGAAACATGAACGTTACTTTTGCTCATCGTGTCCAGCAATATTAGACTGAATGTAGAAGTAGTCTTCATAATCATAAAGTCTGAAGTTGAAATATGCAATACTAGGTGAAGATATACCTGGTTCAATTTAATCCGTCTTTTTTGTCGATCCGTATCTCCCATGGCCAACAGGTCTTTGTTCGGACACTTGTTCTTTTTCTTCCCCGAGCAAAACGACTCTCTCTGGATAACTTGCACATCCACGTAATGACTGCTCAAATTCAACCTTGGCTCCATCTCCTCGCAGATTTGATGCATTTGGGCTTTGGCGATTCGGATGTAGTTCTTGACACTTTCTGAGGGTGAAACGTAATGGCTTCATCACGCTGGTTCAACGCTGGCTTCCAGTCAAACTTTTGACAAAACTTACCAGGTAAATCGAACGTAGTGGGAGACTGCTGAACGGTGTTTGACGCATTACGTTGAGTCATCTCTGAAATGGAGGCACCGTCTGAGTAAATGACACACATTGATCTCATTCTTTTCACTTAAAGTATGGTACAGGTAGCACGTGGCACCTCAAGGAGTCGCTGTAGTTTGGACCATAGGATTGCTCCGGTTTTATTACGTCTGCGGTGCATGATTTCCATTCAGCAAATTTTTTTTTTCCCAAAATATATTTGGACCGTGCATCTCTCTTGCGCTGAATTTAAAGGGAACAATAGGACCCGCTTCCATTGGCAGGAAGCAAGTCGGCTGTGTTCACGCACACTACGGCGCAAACGCCCGTTTCTAACTGTCGCACGTTTGGGAAAATACCTAAAGAAAACTGCTCCCATGCGCACCGCACCGTCGGGCCACGCTTTGCGCTAGACTTGCGCGGGGCACATAAATAGGGCTTACCCGATAAACCCCAGTGACTCAAACAAACATAATGTGCTCCAAAAGGTTGTCCTTATCGTTATCACTCTTTGTTTTAGCATCACCAATACCCTTGTAAAAATACAGGGGGAAAAAAACCAAAACATTCTGAGGTTCAACTGTACTGACCGTAATCACAAGGTGGACAGATGACTTTGCTAGTGGTGTCCGACAATGTCCCGGATGGGGGTGAGCTCATTTGGGCCGGTACTACTGCACTGTCCTCTACAGAAAGGAAAGGGAGATCTTAGGGACACTAAGCTGATGGTTAGATCCAAGTATCAAAACTCTAGAACACAAAATGTCAGTGTTACAATGTGCTCTCATGAGAATTCAGTAATATGTTGTATGGCATAAAAATCAACATTTATTTCACATTCAAAACTGTTGCGTCACCCACCTGGGGAAAAGGGTGGCACCTGGAGTTTGGATACTGATGGCGAAGGAGATACGTGTACTGCAGCCATGGGACAAGAGCAAAGAAACAGAACAAATGCTTTAGGAATCACATGTGGGCAAAGAACGACCTCCATATGGTACAATCCAACTATTACTACATAGCTTGCGATGTCTATTTTACCTGGTCTAAATAACCTACAACGTAATGCTTTATTAGTTTAGTGTGCGCTCGAGATTGCATATGAGCTCAGTCGCAATACATGATCACTCACCCAATATGCATGTTGGTGCAGCAGCGACGGGATATGGGAGGCGGCCAACTGGAGGACGAGTCGTTTGCATCTTCAACTGATAAGATGTAGCGGCTGGGAAGGTGACAAACTGGATGGAGCTTTGGAGATGAAGGATGCTTTGTGGTGCTGTGGAGAGACACGAAAGATCTCCCTGACTCGGCATTGAGCCTGTGTCACTGCCTGGGGGGAAAAAAAGGCCAGAGAATAAAGGGAAACGAATTCCAGTCATCCATTGAACAAGGAAAAACGCTGTTTCTCCATTCAACTCAACTCAACTGTATTTATAGAGCACTTTCAGACATCCATCGCTGCATACAAAGTGCTGTACATGGAGCAACCGACATATACAACAGTAAAGCAACAAATCAGTAACAAAGACGGTAGAAAGCACCGAACAGCAAAACCAAGAACAAATCTGAGTCATGCTGAGTCAAATGCCAAAGAATACAAGTGAGTTTTGAGGCGGGTTTTAAAGATGGGCAGCGAGGAGGAGGCTTCAAGACTAATTCCGGGATTTCCAATCAGGGTGCCGTGACACACTCGTGTCTTGTGATAGAGTTTAGGGCTGCTATGGGAAAATGATCCAATCCACCGATAATTGTGATTTATTAATTAGAAAATGTATATTCATACATATTCTACAATTGAATGTCTTGCATGAGATGACAGAGGATACAATAAACCTGAATCTCCACCTTGTTGTCATTCACGTAACAACAGGTGTCAAATCATTTGTTCGCGCACTTGCAGGCACACTCGCTGTGGTTTTCTCGTAGCGGGCACACCCCCAAAACAAAATGTTGCCACTGTCAGCTCATATGAAATGGCGCACACTTTGAGAAGGGAAAGTCATGAAATCTCACCTTCAGCTTTTTGTTTTTTGGTGCTCCGTTTTGATAATGTGGCTGCCGAGGCAAGAAAACACACCTTTAGCCCTTTTTACATGATTTTGCAATTATCTTGGAGACATACTTTTTTTTTTTTAATCTGCAAGTGAATGAGTGCTCACCTCTAGGTCTTTTTTGAAGAATGTTATTTTTTCCTTTCGGTTTAATCTGATCTACCTGCTGGTTTCCGTGTTGGCCGGGCAGCTCTTTTGTCAAGGGAGTGTCATCTGCAAGTCACACAGAGGGGTGTAAAAGTGTGTAACCGTCCCATCTTTGAACTAACAACATTAGGACAAGATACATGTTGAATTAATAGCCGTCTGCCGATTAAAACGGAGAATAATGACATCTGCTAATGCATCATTTGAGACAACGTTCTTTTATTTCATCTGACTTGGCTGCAAGCGGACGTAATTTTGAAGAGTGCTGCAAAAAAATAACCGCACAACAACATGATGCTTCAATGCTCAAGAGAAAGTTCCTCTTTCATTTTCACCCCCCTGATGAAAAGTATACCAGATCATATTTTTGTTTTTAATAACTACCTCAACGTGCAATTACATTTGATTTCGGGTAGTTGGTCCTTTTTTTTTTCTCCTTTTCACATAAGTCTATTTTCAGGCAAAAGTATATAAAAGAGATCCTTACCTAAGTCATCGCCATCAAAAATCAACATGGGATCATCAGCGAAGAGGCCATCTGCGTCTGGATGAAAAAGCAGCAGATAGTAACTGTGACCCGCGAGCACGTTTTCACAATTGATGACATGCATTCATTTCTGGTCGTGTCCTACCAAGCATATTCACCAGGTAACTGTCATTCATGAATTCTGATAAATCATCTGAAACACAAAATCAGCACATCATGATGCATCTCACGCGAGTTGTTTTGACCTGCCTATTTGCAGTACCACAATACACATCACTCACACTCTGCAGTACATAACATTATGCACAAGAAAAAATTCGGCCATTTAAAATACAATAACTCTCTGTTTTCTTTTGAAAATATCAGCGCAGTATCGATGTTTTCAGATACTACTGATATATCCAGGCATTTATTAAGATCATCACAATCATGTATGATCAATAATATTTTACACTCGCCAAAAGGGTCTGAGGCAGAGGCTTCCCTGACCTTCATCATCCATACAATGCGCGGGAATTTGTCCTGTGTAAAACACTAACCTGGTAAAGCTCCATAGTCAGGACACAAATCTTGGTCGTAATCTGTTGCCTGCATCGTGCGACCTGTCACACACCACACACAAAAAAAAACAAAAGATCCTGGTGCAAATCTGGAATGCCGAAAACCAATGAAGCTCCAATTCGTGATGAAAATAATTAACCACTTGTTTAGCGCACCAGGAAACTAGAACGGTATTTCCCACTGTTGATGTAGGATTTCGAATTCCTCCTCCAAAAGCGGGGTTATAAATTTACAGAAATAGCACACATGATACACTTTAAAACTTTGCTAAAATTTTTTTATTGTCTACTACTGGCAGGTTGTGGTGTCACATTTTGGGCGACAAGGCGAACTTCAGACGGCTTGACCGTAGATCGCTTGCTAGTCGTGTCCGCTGCACTTTTTGGATGGTAAAGGAGCAGACTGTTTCCGCAAGTATGTTGCAGAATAACAACATACTTGCTGAAAGAGGGGGGTTTCACTCCATTCTGAAAGAGGGGGGTTTCACTCCCCCTAACACCGACCACCGTTCAATTTAATTGACCGCCAGGATTAATCGTGGCGCACATGTTCATCAATATTATTTATCGTGACATCATGTATTCTGAAGGTTCCCCCGCCCCCCCCGAGCCACTTTGGCGTGTGACCTTCGTATTACTTTTTACGGTATTGAATAAATACAACGGATGACGCGATGCCGTTCGTGCACCAGGCAAACCGCGACCTGTTTGCTTATCTTTTCCCGCCGCTAAATTTCATAAAAAAAAAAAAAAAACTACGTTTAAACCCTGTCAAGTTTTCCAACTGCTCCATCGGAATCAGCATCACAATGAAACTGACCTGGTCTGTTCGGCGCGCTGTGCACCGCGTGGTTTTTTCCCCTCCCCGGGCTGACTGTGGACACGCTGTTTAAATCCGGTCAAACATCCGAGGCTTGATGTCCTCAAGTGACTGGCCTCTCCATGTGGCGCATGAACACTTTCACTTTCTGTATGATGCTACACAAAGGAATAAAACAAGCTTTCCATTTGGGGAACTACAAGGGGGGGGGGGGGACCCACAAGCAGCAGATAGTAACTGTGACCCGCGAGCACGTTTTCACAATTGATGACATGCATTCATTTCTGGTCGTGTCCTACCAAGCATATTCACCAGGTAACTGTCATTCATGAATTCTGATAAATCATCTGAAACACAAAATCAGCACATCATGATGCATCTCACGCGAGTTGTTTTGACCTGCCTATTTGCAGTACCACAATACACATCACTCACACTCTGCAGTACATAACATTATGCACAAGAAAAAATTCGGCCATTTAAAATACAATAACTCTCTGTTTTCTTTTGAAAATATCAGCGCAGTATCGATGTTTTCAGATACTACTGATATATCCAGGCATTTATTAAGATCATCACAATCATGTATGATCAATAATATTTTACACTCGCCAAAAGGGTCTGAGGCAGAGGCTTCCCTGACCTTCATCATCCATACAATGCGCGGGAATTTGTCCTGTGTAAAACACTAACCTGGTAAAGCTCCATAGTCAGGACACAAATCTTGGTCGTAATCTGTTGCCTGCATCGTGCGACCTGTCACACACCACACACAAAAAAAAACAAAAGATCCTGGTGCAAATCTGGAATGCCGAAAACCAATGAAGCTCCAATTCGTGATGAAAATAATTAACCACTTGTTTAGCGCACCAGGAAACTAGAACGGTATTTCCCACTGTTGATGTAGGATTTCGAATTCCTCCTCCAAAAGCGGGGTTATAAATTTACAGAAATAGCACACATGATACACTTTAAAACTTTGCTAAAATTTTTTTATTGTCTACTACTGGCAGGTTGTGGTGTCACATTTTGGGCGACAAGGCGAACTTCAGACGGCTTGACCGTAGATCGCTTGCTAGTCGTGTCCGCTGCACTTTTTGGATGGTAAAGGAGCAGACTGTTTCCGCAAGTATGTTGCAGAATAACAACATACTTGCTGAAAGAGGGGGGTTTCACTCCATTCTGAAAGAGGGGGGTTTCACTCCCCCTAACACCGACCACCGTTCAATTTAATTGACCGCCAGGATTAATCGTGGCGCACATGTTCATCAATATTATTTATCGTGACATCATGTATTCTGAAGGTTACCCCGCACCCCCCGAGCCACTTTGGCGTGTGACCTTCGTATTACTTTTTACGGTATTGAATAAATACAACGGATGACGCGATGCCGTTCGTGCACCAGGCAAACCGCGACCTGTTTGCTTATCTTTTCCCGCCGCTAAATTTCATAAAAAAAAAAAAAAAACTACGTTTAAACCCTGTCAAGTTTTCCAACTGCTCCATCGGAATCAGCATCACAATGAAACTGACCTGGTCTGTTCGGCGCGCTGTGCACCGCGTGGTTTTTTCCCCTCCCCGGGCTGACTGTGGACACGCTGTTTAAATCCGGTCAAACATCCGAGGCTTGATGTCCTCAAGTGACTGGCCTCTCCATGTGGCGCATGAACACTTTCACTTTCTGTATGATGCTACACAAAGGAATAAAACAAGCTTTCCATTTGGGGAACTACAAGGGGGGGGGGGGAGCTCATGGGCGGGATGAGACGGACTAAAGTGAAACTGAAAGTGTCAGGTACGCCATGTCGAACTATAAATTATGTGAGGAAAAACATCAACATTTCAAACCCATGCGGTCGGTTGATTCCAAGTTTTTATAATTTCATTTGCCAATGGGAGGATTCTGAACCGATCGACGCTCCTACGCCTACTAAAACCTGTTCTCAAGAATTAGGTGATGGATGTGGAAAGCACCTGAATGTTTGACCACCTGCTGAAGAAATACCTTTGAATGTTTTCTTTCAAGAGTATGTGCATGAATTTCCGTCCATCCATTTTCTAATCCGCTTCTCCTCAAGAGGGTCGCGGGCGTGCTCCCCGCCGTGCCACTAATCGGACCCAACAGGTTTAAACAAATGAATGCACAAAATTGTACGGAGGAATGATATTATAGTAGGTGTTTTATTATTTTTTTTTTGGAAAGCTATGTGTAAATTGTATTTGAGCCTAACATGATACACTGTCTGTCACCGAGAATTACTGTATATAATGACACCTCCCATCTGTTCCCCTTACTCCCCTTAAGTAGCCTGCTAACTAACAAATAAACAAACAAAGCAACTTAAATGCAAATCTCATGAGTTGTTTTCACTTTTATGAACAGTTTATTTTTTGGTAGAGGTCTTCCCTAGTGGCATTCTATTTTTTTATGATTATGGCATTGTTAAAAAGAAATGTAATGGTGGCCTAAGACTTCTCCACACGACTGTCTCTGTCACTATTCTCGACAAACCACATTTTATTGCAGCGTTGCTATGAAACGGAACATTGCAGGTCAAATCACAGATAGTTCCTCAATGTTTTTTTTTTTTTTGTATTACAGTACAACTAATGACAAGTGCAAAGCTTATGTCTTGCTTGTTCGTTGGAGGTCAGTCAGCAGGATATTGGAGAAACATCATCATATCACATTTCAGTAGAAATTTAGAAGAAAGTGTTGATCGAAGATTTCAATGTTACTTTATACAGCCTTTTCTATAGTCACTGATTTAAGTTTTATGCGTCATAATGTATTACCATTTTGAGCGCAAATCCACATTCAGGCACATTCAAAAATACTAACTGAAAACAAGGAATTGAAACAACATACATTTATTCTCTTTCCTGTCTATTCCTGTATTACAAGTGTAACTGATTTTTCTAAATCATATTATTAAAATGCTTTTTATTTTGTGGACAGATTGTTTTTCAGAATCCATAATACCATTCTGTGAATGACAAGCCATGTATTTTTTTATAACAGAAAAAAAAAATCGTCGGGTGGCTATTAGAGTCTTAGCTTTGGTCCAACAGGACTGCCATAGAAAAAGCTTCTTCAGACAGTGTTCTGCTCGTCATGGATGGAACAGTATTCCTTGATACCTAATAAGAGGAAAGGAAAGAAATATGACATCATTGCAATTAGTGTATGGCGGTGCTGATGTTTTTAAAACGTTCATTAATATACGTAAATCTGAAAAGTGTGGCGCGCATCCTTTTTTTTTTAACTTCTTTCAATGTCTGTCTCACTGTATGGAATAAGGTATAAACGAAAACCTTGAACTTTACCATCCACTAGAATGAAATCAGGTGGAGTCAACTCACTCTGGACAATTCTCTTGTAGACTTCAGCAGCAGGAGAGTCCGGTATTGCATTGAGGAAAGACCTGCCCTCGTCGCAACTTTTTGCTATCCTTGGGTCGAGAGGCACTTTGCCCAGCAGGGGCAGATTCAGGTTTGCACACATTGTCTCGGCGCCCCCGCTGGTGGGAGGGAAGATCTGTGATGTGTTCTAAAAAGACAAAAAGCGGCCTTGGGAGTCGATTTGCAAACATTCGCGGACCCTCAAACAGTTGGAGAATCGATATGAAAAGCGACAACGGCAACAACGTAAATTGCCACTTGTATAATCAAACTAACTTGGACAAATTGTGTCATTTTAAATCAAGTCGTAAGAATCAAAGTGATAAAGTCTGCAACGTGCGTTGATGAATGTCTGATTTTGCTCAGTCACTGCCCAGGTACTGTTTGTACAAATACTGTATGTAATGTACGTTTGCCTGCAGTATTTCCACTGACCTTACAATTTGGACACACAAAGCCGCTCATGTTTTCCACCACACCGATGATTGGCAGTTTGACCTTCTGGCAGAAGCGGATCTCCTTTCGAACATCTTGCAAAGACACCTCCTACAGGAAGCAGGACTGTCAATTTGGAGCTCAGATGTATTTGCTTTTCAATGCAGCTGTCATGAGTGGCATCGTGTAATATGTCCTTGTGTGTACCTGCGGTGTGGTGATGAGGACTGCTCCATCCACGTGGGTGGAGCTTAGGTATTGCACAATCGACAGGTGCTCATCAGATGTGCCAGGGGGCGTGTCAATAATCAGATAATCCAGTTCCCCCCAATCCACATCCCTCAAAAACTGCTTGATCATTCCTGAAATGGCAAATCAAATCCTAGTGCAAGTCCTACCTATTCTTTTTTTCAATTCCTCATTTACATTACATTTACCAAAGTCTGCAGAACTCTGTTCAAAGTTATTTTTGACTTCCCCACTCAAAAGATTTCAGTTGCCCCCCACCCCAATTAGGTAAAATAGACGGTGTTTTGTACCGTTTTTCTTGGGGCCTCTCCAGATTACAGCATCATCAGGACTACCGAGCAGGAAGCCAATAGACATGACAGCGAGGTTGTCCTCCACATACTGAAGCATGAGTTCAAGGAGGACACGTATAGCTTTGCTCAATGGACAATTTATGAAGTACACGTGCACACTCTAATCAATATCCGAACAAGATCTTAAATCCAAAATTTTGGTTAACGCTGCTGCAGTTATTAATTTAATAAGAACTGAGTAACATGTTAGTAAAGCCCGAATATATGATTTAACTAATTGCAATCGACCTCATTATATGCAGTTGTATCTTCTGAAATAGTCGACGAGTGAAAAGTACAATATTACAGAATGTTTCTGCTGAGATATTCAAGCGTTGCTTAATGGGACTTACCACAGGGGACCAGCCTGACCCGCTCTGATGTACCTAGAGATAGGGAAATCACTAATTTAGTGGCCTTCACGTCACATAGCACAAAAATATTCCTTGTTTCTGAAGTACTGATTTGTAATCAATGTCTAAACATGAAACATTAAATATCTGCTTTCCTGTTAGGGCAAATCATAACTTTACTTGCTCTACTTACTTGCTCTCCCTCCAACCCCATGATTCTAGGAATTGACGGACCACAGATATCTACATCCAGTAGGGCAACCTAAAATTGAAAAAGGCAGAAAACACTGACGCGTCTTTTCCAGTAAGAGGTGGTGGTAAACGCAGCATAGAAACGAGATTTGGCCACACTGCTCACTGTGCCTCAGACTTCTCCACCACCTGAGAATGGTCGAAAAACTAAAACATTACCTCCTTGGTCTCATCACTTGCCAAGGCATGGGCCAGGTGAGCACTGAACGTACTCTTTCCCACTCCTCCTTTCCCAGATAGTACGAGTATCTTGTGTTTGACCGTGGACAGTTTTAATCCTATTTCTTTAATGGCTGCAGATGACATATGAAAACAGGATATGTTTGGTTAATGTAGTCATATTTTGTACCGAGCTCAAATGTAAATTTTTATGACTCTTACACCACTGTTATGCAAAGCCGATGCCAGTGCTGGTTTAATTATACTGTTTTTTAGAAAAAGAAAATTAATCAAAAACAATACTACTACTACCTGGAAACTACTAAATTAATTGGATAACCCTGTTTTGGTTTCTAGCTTTGCTGCTGTTGTTGTTTAAAATGCTACCATGATTAGACTATTAGAAGAAATGGTGATGATCTGATATTGGCTCAAGCGCTAAACCAGCACTGGCACCAGCTCAGTTCGAAAGGGTCAATTCTGTACCAGGGTCTGGCGTCTTGGTAGCTCCAGAAGCACACAGTTTTTGGTTAGGACAACCCTGACATGATGACGTCTTCCCTGCCTGCTCACTCCTTGTACCTGGACAGTCTGGAACATTAAAGAACTGTCATTTGAGCCCTCTTACCAGTGCATGACTCTTGCAAATTCACTTATACAGCAACACAGTCATAGAAATTCGAGTTGCAACATTCTGGAATCACATTTAAATTTTATGCATTTCCAAATATTATGTAACTTGACAAATGTAGAGAGCGTTTATGATTTTCACGTTGTTTAAAACGGAGTCAGGTGGCTTGAAGAAAAAATATTACAATTTTTTACATTTCGATGCTCCTTATCGAACAGGCTGAGAGCTGCGTCATAATGACTCAACACATTTTCTGTACGTCCAAGGTAGATACTCACGGTTAATTGCTGAAAACCCCCCCAATATGTATATATATTTTTTCATTTTTGATTGCGACGGCAATACATGAAGTGACAGTTTGTAGCGTTTTATCTGGGGGGAGCATGCGTCAAACTGTGAGGCAGGAAGTCAAGTAAATACTGTATTTACATACCACAAATTCGGCATAAAAAATAAAGTTTAGCTGTTCACATTTGGTTTATTGACGTTAAATTGTTGATACGCAGGTAAATACATTTCAAAACTTACGCTCGTTGGCGTTCGCTGGTACATCGTCCATCTTTGCGTCCGACCATTTAACTTCCCCCTCGTCGAAGGTTCCGCATGTGACTGTCTCCTTAGAATGAAAAATATTTTGCAAAGAAAACACAAAAACAAGCAAGTCTTCGTTGAGTTGCTATCACTTAAAGAGTAAAGCGTCGACAGCGGAGTAGTGGGCGCAGAAGCAGTGAGCTTGAAGATCAATAACTACAACCCTACCTCCGCTAGATGGTGCTTTGGTACATGTATGCAGTCTGCCATGAAAACCCAACGCCCGCAGAGGAAGGACTCGCTCACAAGAAAGAGCAAGTGGGACTTTTGTTTGGGGGAGTTTGAACACCCTCTGCCCTTTCCCCTGTATTATTCAGCAGATGCCATTCAAAGATGATGCTTAAAAAAGTCGGATTCTTTCCACCGCTCATCTTGGTTCATACACGAAGGACACAAATTCAATATACAGTATAACGCAAATCACTATTTATTGGATCCGTAGCGGTATTTTACATGATTCCTTGGTACGAGTCCCATACAATTTCAAACCCAAGGGCATATATAATATAACCTGTACGGTATATTCCTTCCCAATAAAGCAAATAAAAACGATGTCCTAGTAAAACAACACTAATTTGAGTTACACTAAATGTTATTTCTTGACATTTTATGAAATGAAACAAACCTGATTAGTGACAAAAGTCAAAATTAAATCCCCTCCTAAAGGTAGCATTGCAGTGTTAACACCACAAAGCACATAGCTGTAAGGCACTCGATGGTAAGTACTCTATTCCCGAGAGACTGTACGGTGCATGGCTGTCATTTTAACCTTTGGTTATTACTACTATGGATGCCTGAGTATGCAAAGTATTTGACACCATTGCAAAGGTCCGGTGTTATCCGAGGGGCACATTGTGACTAAGGTGTGACTTGTATTGTTATCCTAAGAGCCATATCATGGATAGATTCTCGAAATATTTAGCATCCCATGGTTCGTTCAGCTGGGCTGATAACCTCTCATGAAGTCAATGAAGACACATTCTGTCAATTCAGCAAGTGGACCACGCTCACACATCCTATTGGACTCAGGACAGACTTTGGTCACAGGGTTACTCAGCAAAAAAGTTAAGCCTTGGCTGCATGAGCAGTCATCACACTCGGAACAATGCAGCATGCACACACATACACGCTCATTGTTCATTTTTCTGTAAGGCTGAACAGGGAGACTTTGTGGGTGTATTTTCTGGGGAAAGGGTGACTGTGTCGAGATGTCACTTTTTTGCTGAGGAAAAAAAAAAGAGGAAGTCGTGGGGAAAAAGGAACATGTGAACTTTCGGGGTGTGTCACGTTGATAATGCTAAACGGCGTCAGGTAAATGCGATTCATTGTATTTGAATTACGTCGACGGTGAAAATAAAGCATTAAACAGCATTTAAAATATACGGTTTGGCAAAAACAGTTACACTACTGTAAGTGCGTTTAGAAAGATTGAGACCGGTGGCAATTTTTATAAAGTGGAATACATATGAAATAAGAAAATGTCATTGTAATTTAAGTTAAAGAGTGAAAATGTGAAATAGTAAGTTTCACTGTCGCGCCACACTTTTGTGAGGCCGCTTGTAGCCGGGCAAAATTCGTACAGCTCAATCTTAACAGATTCCTGGCTTGAGTGAGATTTTTTGACAGCATAACATGACAGTCACAGGATCTGTGTCCCACAGCCCTTTAATTATCCAGCATGTTGCTGTAATTCATAAGATATTTTGGTGCACTTGGATTTCAATCTCTTGACGACGTTCTATTAAATTCAGTCTTGCTCTATTGTGAAAGGAACGCATTCCATCGAGAGACTTGGCGTCTCCTTCCTTCTCCATCTACCATTCAAAGCTGCTCTCCCTTCATTCGTCTTGCAACTCACATGAAATTCTCAGCTGTGGGGTCGTACCCTTTGAGATAATTTTAACTGTTTTTAACTGCACCTTCTTGCCACACACCCCGGTGTCTTACCACACTATTTGTGTGTCTGTGTCTGCAGAAGTGATATTTGGACTCGTCTCCCCTAGTTGCAAGAGAGATTTTTATTTTTTTTTTCATTTCACACAAAGACTGGCCATTGTAATTCACTTTAAACTAAATGTGCAATAAGTGACACCGACTATAGCCTCAAGCAAAGCTCGGCATTCAAAAGTTATAGCATGACTGTGCCGCGTGGGAGAAAAGGGTCGATAAAAGCCTTTTTGGATGGGTTTGATGTGGGGAACTCGAGAGCCCTGACCTCAACCCTCATCAAACATCTTTGAGATGAACTCAAACTATAAGCCAGACATTTTATCATGGCCAACAACGGTGAGCTTTGACCTTTATGGGCAGCTGTGGGCAATTGGTTAGGATTGCGACCTACCACCCTTGGGGAACCCGGTTCACAGCCACGGTTGTGTGGAGCTGCGTGTGTGTAGTGTCAGTAGGATGATGACAAAACCGATCTTGCTAGTAAGGAAGGGAAGCCTTTTGTCTGCGCGTTCCGCTGTATGTGACTGTTTGTGTGAAGGAAGGAAGATTAGCTGCAGACTATTTCTGGTCACTCAGTGGCAGTTAGCAGTGCATTTGTGCGCACACACACACACACACACACACACAGGTCTGAGGCCAAGGCTTGTTGAAACAACAATGCAGCCCCATCGTCCTTGTCCCTTCAGGCAACAGCACCCCTTCCTATCACTCTCACTAACAGGTTCAACGTCTCTGAGCTATATCAGGTGTTGCACATTGTACGTCACGAATGACGCATATCATTTACGTGCTATTGTTATAGGTTGGCAGGTAAGGACAGTAAACCGTGCACGCCTCCACCCAATCTGAAGGCGTTATAGTGCATTTTTGGATCGCACTTTGGCAGCGTAGCTTTTGTTGCCTCGTGCACATTTTAGTCCGCCAATGACGCCTGGTGTTGTGTTTCAGTTATTTTCATATAGTGTACATATAGTGAGCCTCCGGAATAACCATGAAACCACAATTTGCAGCAGCTTTAACATCTGGCAGCATGCCAGAGCAGCACACTCTCAAGCAGACAGGAAGCGGGCTCCCAACCTCCCCTGTTCCTGTTTCTCACAGAGTGTGTATATGTGTGTTTGCGTGCGTGTGCGTGTGTGGAGGCCCGCGACGGTAGGCAATCAGCAGGAGACACATTGAACAGCGTGGCAAAAAAAACAACAAACAAATACTCGACAAAAGAGAAGAAATAAGACGTGACAATGGAGGAGATGGGGGGAAAAAAATGTCTCGGTAATTACGATAAAGCGTGACTGACTATATGTAACTGTGGAACAACGCTGGAAGTGAAACTACTTCCTAGAACGCTTCCTCTCCCCCTTCCTCTGACTCTTGTGGAGAGGGGCACAGAGATAAATCTAAAAATACTGCCTGTATTTATGAGGCGCCTTTGGAAAACTGCAAAACATGAACATGGAGAGCTCGGGAGAATGGCGGCCAGTTATTGCGATATTTCTTTCGGTTTATGTTGCGGGATTTGTTTTAAGGCAGTGATTCCATTGTGGATTGCTTACCACATGTGCAGGTGTCCGAGAGGGACTTTAAATACTACGTACTATACAATTTAAAGCTGCAATCTATTTAAGGTTACTCGAGCACGACATTTGTTTAATGTCAAGACCGACTCTCTAGCCAAATCGGATTATTTGTATTTGTATTTTTCGGATTGTATTTAATTGTGTGTTGTTTTTTAAATTTATTCAGAGTTGTGGCTGACGATGTATATTTTCACTTTTCCGGTAGGTCATAGGAGACCGCTTTTGCAATGAGTCAAGACTGTAGATGGGAACAACACTTTGAACAGAGCCTCAAGTTCACAGTCAACCGTCAAATCGAACCGAGTGTATTCCACTGGAGTAAAATAGTCTTCGGATCTCAGTTAGCCCGCACCATTGATGAATTACTCACAAAAACATGAAACAGCACCGTCCATTGTTCTGAAAAACATTTGTGGTGTGAAATATTGCTTAACACATGACACATGGATGATTTGTCTTGACCATAACGGTTATTTATAAGCATAATAATTGTCGTAAATGACACATTCATTTACTGTTATCATGACACCCGACTCACCGAAACTCACTTCGGATATGAAATTGGCAGAGATACCAAGTAATCAGAATCATGACACGTACACCCAAATTACGAGGACATTTTGGCATAGTGAGTAAAATTGAAATTTGGGCCATGAGCAACTACATCAGCCACACACAGCGACACAAAGAAATGATTCTTTCCATCCTATTTGCATTCCAACATTTTCATCCATTTGCCTAAGAAACTGGAGGATAATAAACAAAGGAGAACTTGCTGGAGAAGTGAACCGAAAAAAAAAAATCTAAAACACAGCAAAGAACACATACATGTACAATTTTGTTGCAGTATTGCGCCGTCAGTTGATTTAACCCGAGCATAAAGCACATTGCACGTCACTGACTTTCAACAAACTAGCACGGCCGTACTTGGCTTCAAGTGTGAACACCTCATAAATTTTCAGGGAAGGATTATGCAATTTTTAAACAACAAATTGGCCTGCACTGTGGAAAGGCAAAGGAGCAGTTATATTCCCGCGTCTCCCACCATGACAACTGTGGAAAACATTTGCGAGCTTCATGATCACCTCTGCAAGCATGTGATATTTCTTCGCTGAGGATTGGGCCACCAAATTATGACACACCCACGCACACAGGTGTTTACTCAGTAATGCAAATTACTTCTTTACACAATGGACAGCGCTCAGTCTAGCCTACGTTGACTCGCTCTGTCCTTGAAAATCCCCGTTGACGAGGGGTGACACGAAGGTGACATCCGAGACCGATCATCTGCCATTTGCAGGCCTGACACACACGGAAAGAGACAAGCCTTCACACTTACACTCTCCATGACACTTGCATATTTTGGAGCTCAGTGAGGATACAAAGGAGATGAGAAAATGCAAAAAGTGTGCAACCCACAGAGAACCGTCCCCGTCCCCCACCCATTGTCCACCCTACCAGTGTTTCTGACCTAATCTTGACGACATGTGTCTGTTTGTTAACGTTGTGAAATGAGTTGATGCTGAAGATCTAGATGTTGTATATGCCATTCAGGTCAAAAGAGTTGATCTAACAGTCCACAACAGGCAGAATGAGTCCCATTCATTCCTGTGTGGCTTCATGTGTTGAGAATGCCCGGGTTAATTTGCGGCGTAACAAGCCTTGACAATAGTCTCTTCTTCGCCCCACGTCTGCCATGCCAAACAATGTCCTGATGACCGCACACATGAATCCACTTCCGTCACAATGCATTCTTTGCGCCAAGTATGAGTCCGTTTAGACATTTGGGATGATTGTTGAAGTTTTATTCCAGTGTTGATTTTTCTGGTATCAATTATTTGCACATGACTGCACTCCGGAGCTGATATGCCTCAAGAGATGGGTGTGGCGGTGAATAAACACCAGCTTTTCACACCCCCCGCAGGTATATCAATGGATACGAATGCATTGCCATGAAAGACTTCGGCGTCATTTTGCGTTTCATGTTACATCGCCACACCTTTAGAGACCGGGCCTTTATGGTTATGATGACTCGTGCCTTGAAGTGTGCCTAATTCTATTCAGCATGGGGAGGTGTGACACAGAAAAAAAAAAAAAATCCAGAGCCATGGAACAGAGTGGGGTGTGGCGGTGAATAAACACCAGCTTTTCACACCCCCCGCAGGTATATCAATGGATACGAATGCATTGCCATGAAAGACTTCGGCGTCATTTTGCGTTTCATGTTACATCGCCACACCTTTAGAGACCGGGCCTTTATGGTTATGATGACTCGTGCCTTGAAGTGTGCCTAATTCTATTCAGCATGGGGAGGTGTGACACAGAAAAAAAAAAAAAAATCCAGAGCCATGGAACAGAGTGTGCAGGAGAACAGGAATGAAATGCAAATAGCGACGTAAATGATGGAAAACAACGTCATCACTTCATATTTTGTAAAGGTATAAAGTTTGCAGACAGACTTGTGCTTATACGTTAAAATGTACAGACTGGCTACCGTATCATAGTTGTAGATGACAAGAAAAAACATATTCCATGGGGCTCACTAGGACAACGACGATGTTTAATCTTTACGACGTTCTTACACTCTACTAGAACGATGACGGTATCTATACGATGTAGTTTGTTCTACTAGTGTACAGAAATGTCATGCGGTTGAGGAATAAACAGCTTTCCACAACCCACCAGTCGACGTCTGGATTTTGTTTTGCATTTCAATACACTATTAGTGGTTTCAAACACAATTACATTCATCCATGGTATCTGCGGTCGTACACAACAACATTGTATTCCCCTGGACTGACTCTGGATTCTTCACAACTATTCCAACTGTAACTAATTCTGGCCATGGATTTCCCCCTCACTTTTCGCATTTCGAACATCCTCTTTTTGGTTGCCAAATTCCTTGTCTTTTTTTTTGTTGTTTTTTTTAATTTCCTCTTTCCGTTCCGTCGCTATGAAGTGCGTGAAACTGACTATTAAACCACCCTTGGGGTCTCCATTATGATTTTCTACCCTAAGTGTCACCACATTTGTCATGTAACACCCACACACGCACCCACACGCGCACACGCACTCCCGGTCCCAAAGCCACACCCAAAGCCCTCCCACGCCAGCAGCCGAGCCACAGAGTAAATGTGCATCTCCAACTTTTTTTTTTTTTTTTTTGTGGGAGTCGAGTGAGTTGGTCGGTGCCTGTTCCCTGAGCTGCGTCGCGCCTGGAGACTTGCCGTTACAATATTTGCAAACTTTAATATTTGTTTCCTGACAATCTGGAGCTGCGCTCATCGCGTTTTCTTCCACGTTCTTCCAACTCGGTGAGTAAATGCGCGTGTTTGCATCTAGTTTGAATGCTACAAATTAGACCGCGTGTCACGTTGATACACTTTTTTTTTTTGTTCTTTCCACAAAGTTGAAGAGTTGCGCCTCCCAATTAAAAGCGTTTCAATGTTTGTTATTTTCATGTTATACGCTTTCTTACTTGTTTTATTTCCTGGCGCGTATTTTTACGCACAAATTCCCAGCGCCAACGTCCAAATCGCTTACCAAAAGGGGGGCGTTGTTAGACACCCGTGCGTGTTCGTGGTCTTCAAATGAAGAAGACCAAGTGCAAGTTATTTATCAGAAAACGAGAACACACGAGCTGCTTGTACGTGTGAAGTTAAAAGTCTCTAGTGTTTTTAACCATTATTCTTCCTTTGTTATCATTCCAGCTTCCTTTTTTTAATCTTCCATATGGCAGCGCTTCAGGATAATGCACGTGACGTTTTGTCGTTCCCACTTTAAACTGAGAACATTAACCACAATTCGTATTTTTTTGTGATTCTTGTCACAGGGTTATTGGATAAAATGAAAGATTATGATGTAATTAGAATTTCCCAAGAACCTAAAAAGAATTTCGTTTTGACGAGAGTGTGCCCTCTATCGGTGGAAGTAACTATGCAGGTTGATGAATTTTTTTTTGAGGGGGGGGTGAACTTTGGGTCAATCGTTTGAATTGAAAATACTTAAATACTTGTATAGTGTTACTTTATAAAAATAAATGAATACAAATATTTGTATTGTACTGTTTAAATAATACTCATAATACTGATTAGAATAATGAGCTCTATAAACGCTTATGTGACTAAGTCACTGTGGACCGGACGATTTGTACAGCTGATTTGAAGCAGGTTATTTCAAAAGTTTCGTACACTGTAAAATGATCTCTCGGCTACTGCAGGATTGACAGACTGCCTCCGGTTTTCCGGCGAGTCAGTGTTAGTTTTTCCAATATTTTCTGTCATCATGAACTCAGAGTAAGCAGAAAGGCGAGTGATATTTGATCCCAAGTTAACTTGAGGCTTGACAAAGGTGCTGAATGAGGAAATCCATCAAGAAAATACAAGTGCAGTGTGTGGATGTTAAACAGAGACAATTTTTTTTTTTTTTTTGGCTGCCCTAACCTCACTCTACCATGTGGGAGTCATTACTCATGGCGGTCACCTACGAAGGTCTATGAACAACACGTGCGGACTCAAAGACAGACTAAAACATGTCAGTGTCCAATGTAAAAGAGTTCCAATTTCAAAGCCAAGTCTTTCAATACGTCAGGAAAAACAGTAAGCATACATGTGTTTGCCTTTTCATGCGAACATTTGTCCAGTTTACGAGTTCCTATAAATGAGTGTGGACTACACAATCGTTTGCACGACACCATCACGCTTATTGTTCACATAAATTAGGGACGGCTTTTATTTTGTGAGCCCGTGACCTTGAATATGCTGAGCCAGAGATGCCTTTTACATGGCAACTGAAGAAGATCCACTTTAAGTGGTGCCAAAGATATAATAATACTCTTCATTCAAATTTCCTATTGCCCAATTGGAGGCACACCATACTTGCAAATATTGTACATAGTCTACAATCTGTACATTTGCAAACAGTCTTGTACATGAATGTTAAAATATAACTTATTTTTGGACAATTATTTGTACATATTTGCAGTACTGTATTGTTTTTCCAAAAAGCAGTCATGCTTGGGCTTCGTTGGATCCAGAAGATTAATGACACAACGGATTGAACAATTGCTCTCATTTTTCCTGTTCCTGTCGTGATTGCTTGTTGGTCTTGGCAACAGTACTAGTCTGTAGCACACGGTGGAAGCTCGAAAGCCATGCCCCAAAAGTCACACCATTGGGAGTTAAACCACAATCTTTAATCCCTCAAATGATAAACAAATTTAAACCATCGTGTCATGTGAGCAGTACAATCATTTAGGCATGACAAAAGTTAATTCGTTCCAGCAATACCCTCTAAAAAACCACTCGGTGACAACAGGCGGTCCGCAAACACCTCTCTGATTCCTTTCTATTATACGTCTGCGGGAAGTCTTCAACGGGTGAGTTCGACTCAATTTTACTTTTATGATAGAGTTGCCCACACTTAACCGGTACCGCGGCTTTTCTCATAACTACACAAAAATGCAAATACTGGAACCCGACCGTGTCACAATCGGACTCAAACGACAAACCAGCCTGAAATTATTGGCCAAACCGGAGTCATGATCTTGTCATCAGAGCGATGTCTGACTCTGGCCGAGGAAAATATGGCACATTTGCAACTCTACAATAAAACGTAGTTGTGGAGATGAAGAAATGTTTGCTCTTCTCTAGGCAAAGCTTTGTGTTGACTCGGTGACGGGGAAGATGTGCCTTTTGTGTTTTGACTAAAAATAGACCTGGCACTACGGTTGCTGTGTATAAACACAAACCGCCTAAACTGACCCACCCACACCAACACTTTATTACATTCTCATTGTGGACAAAGGATCGTTTCATCAATCTGATTCTTTGCGCAAACAACCTCAATGCTCAGTGCAAAGTCCATAGATTGAATGGCCTTAACCTTGAGCTCGATACATCACTCGAGCAAGAATATCTGCTTGAAGTTGTCAGTAATGTGGTTCCGAAGGAAGTTTGTGTGTGAGGAATGTCACATTTCTCAGCAGTACAACTACATTTGGAGCCAGAGGGCCCCACTGGAAGATTTCATGTCCACTTCCTGTCCTCTGTTCCTCAGTTTTCAGCCATTTTCCCCAAAGCCAGGAAAGAGAGGAGTTGGGCGAGCGGAACAGTGAGAGACTCGGTTGGGGGAGTGAGATCCAGAGGCCCAGTTAAGTCTGTGGCTTTGTGTTTTATGAAAGAAAAGGACATTAAATGTCAGCATTTTCCAGCAGTCACACACACACACATACGCGCAAACACACGCGCACGCACACACACACACATGCACGCACACACGCTCTTGCAGCGTCCCCTAGCTTCCCATTATAAGGGTGAGTGGAAAGGAGGAATGGTTGTATTTTGCGTCTCTTTGTTTGCGTGTGACAGTCGAGGTGGTTTCACTTGTATATGTTGCTGATTGTGCTTCGCATGTTTAACATGAGAATTTCGGCTCGGGGAGAAATCAAATTTGGCTTTTTGGAATACATCCACAATGGCTATAAATGTTACCTCTTACTGACCAAGTGGTAGAAAAGGCATTCTGACTAAATTAGATAGTGAAGTCTTTTATTTGCTCCGGTGATTGGCAAAGAACAGCTGCTGCTTTGTGAGCAGATACGCCATGAGATTTTTTGACAACAACGGAATGCATTCCAGACCAGCGAGGCTAACGTATGTGGCATGTGGACATCATTATCTGCGTGTGTGAGTGTGTCTGGCTGGTGTCTGAGGTGACCGTTAGTGCATTCATCACTTAACTGTTTCTACCAGGGTTATCATAGATTGGGATTTTATATATATATATATATATATATATATACACACACACACACACACACACACACACATACACACACACACACACGAGCGCGCGCGCGTGTGTGTGTGTGTGTGTGTGTGTGTGTGTGTGTGGATTGTGTGTGTGTGTATATTGTGAAATGCAAGATTAAAAAAAAAAAAAAAGTCAAATTCTATTTACGTCCTTTTTTGCTAACGCAACATTATCAGCAGACCCGATTGCATTCGTGCGAATGTGCACGTGTGCACATCTGGGAATGATCCCGCTGTGCCAAAGAGTATTTCAGCACGATGGAATTAAAGTCAAAGTGTTGTAATGCAATAAATGCGACAAGAGGTGGATGTGGCCAGCTTGCTCGGAGAGGTATTTATTCTTTTGGGATTTATTGTTGTGCTTGTAGTAAGAGTGGTATTATTTTAACAATAATAGACTTTTGTGTTGTAGTTCACTGCTTGAAAAAGGCAAACCGCGGCTTGACTACATTGTGTATAGAGCCTACAGAGTCAGTATGCCCTTATGAACTGGTACTAATATATTCAAGTTTTTTTTTTTGTCTCCGTTCCATCCTGTTTACTTCTCAGAGCTCAATGATGACGAGCATTTACCAAAAGCAGTCGGTGTTTACATTCCTATCTAAACCCTCAACCTGCTGTCACAAGATTCATAGATTTAGCCTCTATTTTCCTGTCCTCGCCACCTCAAAAAGGGTCAGTCCATCTCCTGAAAGCAACCCCACAGCCACATGTGCTCACGCAAATTGTGGCCTGCTTCCTGTCGGCGGGAGGAGTCTGTTTTTACTATGATTCCATTTTGGCGGAGACGGCTAATTCCTTTGCTGTCTGGCTTGAATGTGTGTGTGTGTGTATCTCCCAACTCAGCTCCTTTTGTGTTCGCTTTGGGTGGCAGTTACCAAAATCTAAATCATGTGTGCACATATCAAAGTCTTGTGTTGATTCCAATCAAATCCAATCCAAATTTATCCAAAGTGCTGTACAAAACAACAGATGAATAACACCACAGAGGTTCACATCCAAAAAATAAGTTGGTCAATAACTACCATTAAAACACACAAATGTTACTCATAAAAGGAGCAATAAAGTGAAAATGAACAACAATAACGGTGAAACAGATCATAAAAGCATTGCGTTGTGCGTTTTCAGAAGTCATTTAAAAATGGCTAGGCAGGAGGCCCGTCTGATTTGCGGAGGCAGGTCGTTCTACAAATTTGGAGCTGCAAGAGCAAAGGCTTTCTTCCATTATGAGCTTCAGCTTGGTTTGAGGCACAGTCAAGGGCAGCTGACCTGCGAGAGCAAGGGTGAGGAAACCTTGAGGTGTTCACTATTATTGTTTGAGGCACATACATTTGGGAAAAGAAATTGTTTCCCCCGAGTAACGAGCCATGTGGAAGCAAGTAAAGGGGACCTAGAACTGAGCCCTGTGGGAACCCACGCTTGAGGTGCGTTTATGAGGCAACAGAGTGGCAGAGGCTGACACAGAGGTTCTATTGGGCCCCCAATAAAGCTCCTCCAAGACACCATTCATCAATAAGCGATCCAAACTTTACAACCATTTAACCGATTATTAGTTATCGGACTGATTTGAATGGCACGTTACTGTTTTTAAACATTGCAATGCAAATGGAGAAACTCCCAATGCCTGCTTGAGAAACTCCCAATGCCTGCTTGTCAAGTCGTCCAGATGGACACAACATGCTTAAATTATATTTTCTCAAATTTGAGTGGAGACTTTGAGGCTGCACGTAATTCACTGAGTGTCTCATCAACCCCGTGATTCTTGCAATTTAATACAAAGCTCTTTTTGGATAACTGGTTGCAGATGGAGCAGTTTCAACACTTCCACTGTGCATTTGTTTCCTCAAAAAGATCTCCGGTTGCCACACGAAATCCTGAATTTAGCAAATTCTTTGTTGAGATTATTCATCAGGCACTGAATAACAAGAGTGCTTAAACAATAGTGCTGATAAAAAGTGTAAACTAGTCGAGTCCAGAGTTGACAATGTGCATCTGCTGGCGCAGGAAATGGGCTTGGCCAAACTCTTTGCAAAGTTGGATGCAAGAATCGAGAACGAAGGAGTCCAACCCAAACAATGCCTAATTGAATAGTTAAATCATTTGACCATATCCAAAAGGATGCATTTAACCTGCTTTTTTGTGTGTTGATTTTTATATTTTTGTTGCTCCAGACTGACTCCTTTTCTGTGAGAGGCCCTGATCCAGCCTGACCATCAGCCAGCAAACTTGACTTCCATTCACAGAGGCAAAACCAGACCGAGTGACACGGAAGCATCTAGCCGTTTGTCAGCGTCTAGCAACTACTAGAAGACGAGTGAGCCGAACAGCGGGGCGGGCAGCTATGTTGATCATCTTAGTCCTCATCATCCTTTTCCATCTGGCTGCAGCCACTCTCCTCTTTGTTGCAACCATACATAATGTGAGTAGCATCAAAGGGTGGCCATTTTTAAACACACACACACACACAAAAAAATCATTGCAGGAACGGACATTTATGGTGTGTTACGCATTGCTGTGTTACAGGCATGGTGGTTGGTGTCACCACCTGGACGGGATGTGCTCTACTCGGACCTGTGGTACTCCTGCAACACCACCTGCTTTCCTATCGCCAAAAGCCACACTCCTGACGCAGGTAGGAATGTGTACCGGCTGCAAATAGTGCTGATGTGTGTGTATGCGGTGTACGATTTTCCAACAGCTGTCGGTTGCACCCCTTAGCCTACCTGCAGACGGTCCAGGCCACCATGATCCTGGCCACCATTTTATGCTGTATCAGCTTCTTCGTCTTCATTCTTCAGCTCTTCAGGCTCAAGCAAGGAGAGCGATTCGTCTTCACCGCCATTATTCAGCTGTTGGCCTGTGAGTGACACAAATGCACATCAATACTATGTCCACAAAATCTCACCACGTTATGTTTATGAGCGTCAGGCCTTATTATTCACAGATTTTTTTTCTATTCACGACCAAACTTGTTCACAATCCCCCTGCGAACAGCACAGGTGCACTTTGTGTAATGAAGTCATGTATGGCTTTGCTAATACAATTTGGAAATTATGCTGAGGGCAAAGCCATGAAGGCCTTATTATTCACAGATTTTTTTGTTCTATCCACGACCAAGCTTGTTCACAATCCTGCTGCGAACAGCACAGGTGCACTTTGTGTCATGAAGTCATGTATGGCTTTGCTCATACAATTTGGAAATTATGCTGAGGGCAAAGCCATGTCAAGAATGGCGAAAACTCACGAGGAATTGATCACCCCCCCCCCAAAAAAGATATATATTTGCCTAATGATGTCATAACATGGTGGCAAAGTGAGACGTCTGTCAAAATAAAGCTCCTGAAGTCACTTTACCAAAATTCCTCGGCACCAAGCCTCCACGGTGGTGTCAAAGCACTACTATTATCTAAATAAAGTCCCTCAATTTACGCCAGCGTGATTCCTTGGCACCAAAATGCTGCAATATTGTGCCAAAATTATTACTACAAAAAGAGCTAAACTTCACATTCACAATCTTACGTATACAGCATGGCTTAAACATTTCTTCCCCTCCCCGAATTCTCTCTTCCCTTCAGCTGTGTGCGTGATGATGGCGGCCTCCATTTACACGGCTCAGAACAAGTCCTTCCACCATAGCAGTCTCCATGATGGCTCGTACGGATCCTCCTATATTTTGGCCTGGGTCAGCTTCCCAATGACTCTAATTAGTGGTCTCATGTACTTGGTGCTTAGAAAACGCAAGTAAATGTCAACTTCTGGGCATAGAGTATCGACATCGAAATACTTGGATGGACAGTGAATACCCAAGAAGATAATTGTGCAGTGCGCTCACATAGTAGTAGAGAGGCAATATGTATGCGATTTTCCCCCCCAAACAAAACAACAAACAGCGCGCGCACACACACACACACACACACACATACACACACACACACACACACACACACACACACACACACACATCAAGCATTGCGTCTTGCTCTTATCATGGTGCTCACTGAATGCTGTCAAGAATGCATTCGACGTCACTCCCCTTGCACACCGACACTGTAAATATTTGTCATTTGAGGAGATCTCACTGTATTGTCTTATGAATAGCAGTGACTGAACAACATTCGGCATACGTTTTACAGCGTGAACTTAATGGCGCGGAGACAGAGCCGCATGTTTGTCCCGTTTGCATTTCAAGTTGGACAAGTCTCACATGATTTCCTTATAGCCCCGATACAGGTTCATTTGCATTAAATCCAGGTGAGCATCTCCATGTAAATTCTCATGAGCTGTCCTGTAAAACTATCGAAGAGGAAGAGCGTCCACAGTAGCCAATGTTTCTTTGTACATGAACATATCTTTTAATTTGTGCATGAACTGCTCATCCAAGTTATTCAAATCCACCAAAACTCTTATTTGTTGTTGAAGGCGTTCCAACTTTTTTAAAACAACGTACTTTCCTTCATTCCTCTTTTTATTGACTATTGACTCCCCACATCCGTACTCTCTCTTTTACTTCTTTGTTGGCTCATTGTCATGTTTTTCACCAACATGAGCAAGGCCATGTGTGAAATATGTGTGGGATAAGTAAAAGAAAAACAAACGGGAGATTTTCTTGCTGGGTCCACATTTGTTTTTGAGAAGCTATTAACAAATTAAAAAAAAAAACACGTATTTTGTACATATTTGCTGTGTATGTATAGTTGAGACTATTGCTGACTGAACTAATGTCGTCAATAACACCAAAAAGTTGAAAATGTTAACCTTGGCTTATAAGAAGTGTAGTGATACAAGCTGTTGGATTTGAATATTTTGTCTGTGTTATACTTTGGCGACTGTTGGTGACGCGGTGAAACATTCAAACCAATTATGTGCTGTGACGTTTGGGATTTAAATGACAACATAAACTTGAAATAGGACTGTTTTGTTAATTTTGTCATGCCTGCTACTATGCTATTTTGTTCTTTTCGTGAATGAAAACCAGGACAAAGGCTATTTATTTGACCAAATGCAACTCGTTTTAACATCACAAGGAGGATGAAATGGGTCATTTTATTCTGTTGCCATTCTGACAAGTTTGTCAATGCCTGATGCTTTACGCTGAAGATTATTTCTGGCTAATATTTGCTCATATTATAGCACTAACTTTTAAAATCATTATTTCTTGGTGTTGGTGTGGTTTTTAACATAGAGCTGAAACCTTTTTATTTTTATTTTTTTTGTGGAAACATTGTGCAGGCAGTAATGTGCCCATTTCAACTGCATGAGCAATTGATGCACTGGATGTTTTGTCAAGATTCTCTTTCCTTTGGGCAAATTCTTGATTCAGGGAAATGGACGTGAGGATTCTAACTCAAGACGATTTTTGAAAAATGACCAAAACAACATTTTGTGTGGTTACCTGTTAATTAGTCATATGATTTTAATTCCATAATCATTAATAAGCCTTCATATTTCATGGATGTTCCTGTTTTTCAAATCAATCCCTTAGAATTCGATGAGAAGGAATGAAATGAATGACTATGTAAATTGAATCTTAAAAAACATTTGTATTTGTGGGTGATTACGTACAGTGGCACACTCTTTGAATATGTACAGTAGGTGGAAAAATATACTACTAACTATATTGAGTTCATTTTTTTTCGAAGAGTCAAGAAATCCTATGTAAAGTCAAAATGTCACCATTGATTATATTTTTGAAAACAGTTTGACGCTGAACTGAATAGCCTCTTTCAGTTTTATTTCTGAAAAAAAAACATGGGCACACTTAATTAATTTACCGACTTTTTTTTGAGGGGGGGGGTAGATAATTCTAAAATGTTTAGTTTTTTGAAAAGGCTTCCATTTCATTAAAATAGAAAATATGAATGGTAAGCGTCATGCGATACCTTATATTTCTGTAAAAGAATACTGACAATTGTTCACGTCACTGTGACGTTACTTTCTTTTCCTGTAACCCTCTTTTTAGACTTGACTTTTTTTGTCCTCTAGCGACTTCAACTGGACTAATAGTCAACTACACCTCGGCAAAGTACAGTACGTCACCTTCACACTGTACAAACTCTTCAGAACCCGCTCGTTTGATGTAAACCTCCGTAATTGTGTCTTTTAAACAATAAAATGTTTTGCCTCGTTTGTGAAAAATGTGTCTGCAATGTGATTTAACAGATAGATAGATAGATAGATAGATAGATAGATAGATAGATAGATAGATAGATAGATAGATAGATAGATCATTGGATAGATAGATAGATAGATAGATAGATAGATAGATAGATAGATAGATAGATAGATAGATAGATAGATAGATAGATAGATAGATAGATAGATAGATAGATAGATAGATAGATAGATAGATCATTGGGGTGGTAGTAAAGAGCAAAGTTGACTCGTATAAAGGATAAACTAACGGGAAAAAGAAATGGGCCGCATCCCGGAAGTGTTGACGCCCGGATGAAATATGACGTAACACCCATAGAACAAACAAAACAAGTGGGAGTTCTCAAGAGGTTTTCCAGGTACTGTATTAAGTTTTTGGTTCTGATTTGGTGATTTTTATCATGCATAAGTAAACGCCCATCATATATATATGTTTTTATTAGTTTGCATTATTTAGTCTTATCAGATCAGATTCGGTCAAGTTTAGGTCCTTCCATATTTGGTCCATGTTGGAATTTTGTATAACGATAGAACGCCATCAACACATTCATTTATTTTAAGCAAAGCGACGACAACAGCCAACAATAAGCGTTAAAGAAACGACACTGTACGGGGTTTCTCGTGTTTGGCGACACTGTTCTTTGTGAGATCAAAGCTGCCCTCCTTTCGTTCTGTATTTTTTCTTAAGAATGAAGCGGTTGTGTCCTCCGTCAGATTCCTCTGCAAGTTGTGAAAAAAAGATCAAATTCTCCCAATCTGAGGTCAGTGAAACGATTTTATTGTCCCAGTCAAAAGTGTGGACACGGTTCGTCATTTAATGACATGATGATGTGTCAAAACCTTTGACTGCGGAAGGTTGGTTAATTGTCGTTAGATGTGTTTTAAAATGTAGTATTATAAGTGTATGTGCATTTTTGTACAGCTCCAGATGCTGGTAGAAGAGGAAGTCCAAAAAGCGATGCAAAAGATTGCCACCAAGATGCATATTTTAGATGAAAGTATTCAACAGCTTCAAAAAGATATGGGTTTTGAAGAATCTATCCAAAAACTTGAGGTTAGTAAACCGTAGCAATGACTTATTTTGGAATGTAATTTATTCAACCAATTTCTGACCTATTGTATTATGACTTACTGTGGTGTTATAAATAGTGCTATATGCACACTCACTATTAAAAAACAAACGAACTTGACAAGATGTTGATTTTGTTTTTCAGGAACGTATTGAGAAAATCACAAGGAGAGCAGAAAAAGCACTCACAGCCATAAAGTCAGACAAAAAGGTTTGAATGTCATGCATGCACCTTTGCCCACTGAAATATCATTTTAGTGTCTATGGCAAATACTTGAATCTCACTAGTTTCAGACTTCGCTGCCATCTTATGATGATGATGATGAAGTCATTACGTAAGTAGATAGACTAATAATTCAAGGTGAAATCTTGTGTGTTGTGTTACAATGTCATCTTCCTCAGCAGCATGGATTGTGACGATGAAACTGAGTCACAAAGTAAGAGCCCATTACTTTTAAAACTAATTTTTGTAGAATAGTAGATAGCTATTTATTTCACGAGTATTTATCCACAGAAATAAACATGAGCCGAATGAAGAAGGAAAGACAAGAAAATAAAAACGATGGGCTGGTGAGTGCTGTTCATCTTTCCTGTGTGATTATTTGCACTTTTATTTCCTCACGGTGTGACACTAAGTCACATTTTTTAAATACTGTATACAGTGATTGCAATTTGAGGGACATTTGATCCAAACAAAACTCCTCAAATCACTTCAACATAGTAAGACTTTTATTGCCTTTCAATAATAAAAAACACATCTTCCTTTTCAGGATACTACCGAAAATATTCAAAAGGAGTTGAATAAAAGTAAACAAGGTATGATTATTGTGGCTGAGGGACTGTGTTTTGTTTACTCATTTTCATTTTACCCTTTTATGACTTGCCTCTGTGTCTAATCCAGCTGTGAAAGCTGGGCGATATGGCAGAAAAAAAAAATCGCATTGGTATGTCATTTTCTATGGAGTTACTTACCCCTCTTGGCACTCTGCTGCTGCGCCTTTCACGGCAAGAAACACACAACGCCCATCCAGAAAACGAGTGTACATATTTGTCATGTTTTTAGATCAAGATTTATATTTTGTATCGCAATGTTGCCTAAGAATATCAAGGCCATACTGTGCAGCCCAGACTCTCATCACTTTGATTCTCTCCTCTTTCATCTCAAACCGCTTTAAACAACAAAGCATATGAGGGGAAAAGTGGTTAGGACTGCACGACTGTCTTGTGTGGGTTTTTTTTTTAGATAACAAATCCTTTGTTAGTCTTGCAATGGAGAAATTCCCAATTCACAGCAGCAAGGTTATGAAAGGAAGTTTTATGTTATGTGTTGTGTTATTTTACTTTATGTTAACCGTTTTGTGAAGCGCTTTGTTACAACTGCTGCTGTTGTGAAAGCGCTATAAAAATCAGGATGTATTGTATCAAACAAATTAATTGTAAAATATCCATATTGCTTAGGGCTACCACCTATGCTGAGCGCCTTAGCAGACCTATGTAAGAGTTGCTCTCCTCCTATTCCTGAAAGTGAGGTAAGATACTTTCCCACGCTCATGTCAAAACACAACATGCATATTGTGACTAAGGGCATGATGCTCAAGCTAGTCAGAATTTTTGTTATGTACTTCAGGGTCAATCTATCCTAAATAATGAAAGAGTTGTATTCACTCACCTTCCTTTACTTTCCTTATGCTATAGAATGAGTCTTGGTATCCTCCTCTCCCGATCAACCCTTTACCGTCCAACTTGAGCATGGAGGCTGTGTCGTACAACATCCCCCAAAAAGTGACCGTCCACCTGGCTCTTATTGAGCACCCCGCGGGCCTCTCTGTGATGTGGACAGGAGAAGAAGATGAGCTCTCTTTACCACCAATGCAGAGTTACAGGTGAAACAAAAGTGCTGTGTGCCAAGTGTTAATTGGCGAAACTTTATTTAATGAATTTTGCAGGCGAATGTGACTTCAAAATTTAAAATAAAATGGAAGGTGAACATTTTTTGAAATAGGATTTTGAATTTTGAAGTTGGAGGGTGTAAATAAAGGGTTTCAGTGGTTCCTCTAATGTACTGTATTTTAATTTTGGATTACTGTACAACATTTGGATTTGATTACTTGCTTCGATGTTGTCCATTTCTCTCTTCCTACACTCTAGTGTCTTCCTAACCATGGAAAAGGTCAAGGGGAGTGGAATTTTCCCAGCGTGGCGACTCTTGGGCAGTGTGGATGCCAAATCTCTGCCCATGTGGGTGTCCATCACAAAGTACAAACCAGGGCACGAGCTGTGTGTCGCTGTGGTAGGCAAAGACATTTATGGCCGCTACGGACCCTATAGTGACGTTGTCGCAGCAGTTCTACCTGAATAGCCCCAAAACCGGAACCAGAGGAGCTCAACGAATCAAAGGAGGGACCCACCTATGAATTACATCACAGCCAGATTAGACGTAGATGTTCTGTTTTACTGCTCTATGCATTTTATGCAGTATTTACCAATGGCAAGGCATGCAGAGAAGGCCTTGCTGGCTCTGCCAGCAGAATCGGTTTTATTTTTTTTATGTTGTCAACACTGGTTGTGAATTCTATGTTGTTTAATGTGTGTGTGGGGTTTTTTTTCTTCTAATTAAACAAACTGCACTTTAATGAATGTCATTTGTCTCCCCGCCCCTTTCTGTTGTGAAGTCGTTTGTCTTTTGATATGTCAATATCATAAGTTCATGTCAAGATCATAAGTTACTGAACTATCAGAACAATGTGTTCCCATAGCTTTGCTAACATTGTGGACTGATAAACAAAAATGAAATAAGATAATGAAAAACAACAACAAAAATTGAACCTTAATGGTATATATTTTTTTTTCCAGATTAGATTTCTAAAAGCCACAAAACAACACTCACAATTGATTCTGGAACCAACAACATCAAACAATTCTTTGAAATAAGGCCATAGACGGGGAATAAATGGCTTTAAACATTTTGCATCAACATTATTCATGCTGCCTTGTACAGTGTCCATGCATGCCACTGCTCGTCCTATTCCTCCCACACAAGTTCTCCCAGATCTCAACCAAGATTTCATCCAGCAGTTGACTATATTTGCTGCTCATCTTTTCATCGTGTCGTCATCCGTGAAGTTTGGGGTGGGGGGTTGGCGGGGAAGCACATCTTTGCTAAGTAACAAGTAGTAAGTAGAGTTGTCTGTTCTCAAATGTGAGGCGTACAAGTAGAAAAATAATACTCAAGTACATACCTGAAAAAATGGACTCAAGTACTCTAGTAGTAGTACTAAAGTATTTACACTTCTTGTAACATAAGTAACAAGCACAAATCACACAGTAAATAATACTAATCAGTAAACTTGACATCCACGTTTATACGTCGAAAACTGCCAACACAAACGAAGCATCTCGTGAGTCGAGTGTTGTGAGAAAACAACTGTAATTAAACTCCTTGGCAGGAGGTGGTAGTACTTTATATAAAAGCTGTTGGCCATCCACCATTATTGTCAGAGGAAGAAACGAGGAACGTCTGTCAACCCGAACTCCTTACAAGCGAAACGAATGTGAAGACACACCAGTAAAGCTGCGGTGGTAAAGCAATGTCGTCGTATCAGTACATTCGACATTTTGTCAACGAGCGACTAGCTGCTGCCGCGGAGGAGATTGCCGGCGTCTTCATAAATACTATCGTCGAGTATGAAGAGGAGATCGGACGTCAGCGTCGGCTTCTGGACGACGTTCGGAAACCAAGAATAAAGCTACACAGAACTGGTCAGTCAAATGATCTAACAATGGGAAACGGTTTATTTATTCTGGGCTTTATCAATAGTGGTTGAAATTTGCTCCGATTAAAATGGAAAGATGACGAAGTCGCATCGGGTGATGCTGCGACGTCAATGCAACCAACAACAACGATTTGTCAGTGATTAAAAAAAACCCACCAAAAACATTATATTATTGTCCTCATTTGGAATTTCGGTCCAGCCAATGCTGCACAATATTAGCCTGATATGACAGTCATATTCATTATTATTCTGTTCGCTGGGATACGACCCAGTTCCAGCAGACCCTTATCATTTATCATCTAGACTACTGAGCAATTCTATATAAAATTGATAGAAGAAAGGCTATTAGTATGAAGTAAGGCTTTCCTCACACCAGTCCAGTGCTGCAATTCACGTGTCTGTTGTCTCATCATTCACTAAGCATGTGTAATAACAGAGGTGGCAAAAGCACTTTTGAACTCTGACTGGTTTCGTCACAGTAATAAAAATATTGCTTTTTTTTTGTTGTTGTTATCCCTTCAGACCACCATGAGCAAGATGTCGACAAGCAACAGGAAGTTCTTGCTGCGTCCTCCTGGCCCAGTGAGAACCAAGAAGACCCAGAACCTCCTCAAATTAAAGAAGAGCCCCGCAGCAGTCAGGATGGAGACGAGTTGGACATGAAACCAGAGCGCGATCATTTCAGACTGATTTCTGTTTGTCAGGAAAGTTATAACACAGAGAATCACCCTCTGAACTCGAGTCCTGGTGAAAGTCAGAATCACTTCGAAGAGTCCGACTACGACAACGATGCCTTTTTGCACAGCACCAATGCAGATGAGGGTCAGCATGACAAACAAACTGAGCATGGAGATTCGGGAAAGAATGTAGAGGCAGAAATTAAGCAGAGGCTTGACAAGACAAACAATCACGGTATGTGTTTGGTAATACATACTTAAGTAGCACATTTTTATTGACAACGTCTTATGGGCAAAATCACACTCTAAACATCGGTGAAGTTCAATTGTGAGTGGCCATTTATTTGAAAATTTCAAAAGATTTGGGACAAATATTTTGCACAGGTGGATTAAGAGATTGGTAACCTAGATTCTACTAGTTTAATCATGGGGCCGGCAGTCGTTTATCTTTTAGAACTTGTGCTGTAATACCAGAGGCTGGGCTCCTCTGCTCCCAAATAATAAAGAACATTTTCTGATGCGGACTGTACAAAGACAAACTTAACATTACTTCCCGCACTGTAGTTGTAGACGAAATCAACGGTGCATGTAAATAGCACTTCAGGTATAAGTAATGTGCTTATTGAGTCCGTCCTGTAAAAACATATACCACGAGGCCGTGCTTCGAGAGATTTGAGTCAGTCTTGTAATTACATTCCCTTTTTCTTTGTCCCTTTAGACATCCAACAGCAAGATGTCCCCAAGCAACAGGAGGTTTTCACTCGGTCACCCTGGTCCAGTGAGGAGCAAGAGGAGCCAGAATCTACGGAAATCAAAGAAGAACCTGACACCAGTCAGGAGGAAGCGGGGCCGGGAATAAAGCAAGGGCTGGATCCCTCGACCTATTATTTTCCTCTTTGTCCCGAAAGTTCCCATAGAGAAGATCGGGTTTTGGACTCCGAGAAAAATACAGAGCCAACGCTAAAGCATGGCCTTGACATCCTCAGCGGTTACAGTCCATACGCACAATCAAGAATCCACAAAGGGGAGAAACGATGTGTTTGCAGCCTGTGCGGGAAACGATTTTACAATAAAACAACACTGAAGTTGCACACGATGAGCCACACGGGCGAAAAGCCGTATGCTTGCGACATCTGCGGGAACCGATTTACTGTAATCGCCATGTTGAATCGGCACATGAAGATCCACACAGGTGAGAAACCGTACCCCTGTGGCCACTGCGCAAAGAGATTTAGTGACAAAACAGCACTGCGGGTCCACATGAGGACTCACACGGGCGAGAAGCCGTACCCTTGCGGCATGTGCGAGAAAAGACTGAGCAGCGCCACGGCCCTCAAAGTTCACATGAGGACTCACACGGGAGAGAAACCGTTCTGCTGCAACACCTGCGGGGGAACTTTCCGAGCCAAGACTGCGCTGAAAAGCCACATGAGGATTCACACCGGCGATAAACCGTACACCTGTGACTTCTGCGACAAGAGACTGAGCAGCACGACAGCGCTGAAGGTTCACTTGAGGACTCACACGGGCGAGAAGCCGTACCCTTGCGGCATGTGCGAGAAGCGGCTGAGTAGCACCACGGCACTTAAGATTCACATGAGGACTCACACGGGAGAGAAACCGTTCTTGTGCAACATTTGCGGGAGTCGATTTAGAGCAAAGGCGACATTAAAAATACATACGCGGATTCACACAGGTGAAGCCGTGTGACTTTTGCGATGCGAAGACGGACGCTTCACACAGCTTCGGTCGGAGCTGAAGCAACAATCCATTCCTAGCGTTTTTTGCTCTGATTTATCATCCGGGTCATGGTCACCTGCAACATTGAATTAAGACAACTGAACACCATGTGTTTTTTTTTTTTGTAGTAGGGTCCTCTGAATCACACTTTTTTTATCTTACCATGTCATTTTGCACAACTGCTTGCTTCCAACCTGGGCACAGTTTTGGGAAGGTGCTTTTCTCTTCCAGGATAGCTGTGTCTCAAACAGTACCCGATAAGACAGTCAAGTGAACCATCTGAACCAACAGTGGACGTCTGTCCGACCTTTGCATCAGCAATAGCGCGTCTCCCCCTGGACAAGCAGGTCCGGAGTAATAGCGGAGCAGAACGATCGGCCCCCTAAGACCACTTAAAACAGTCATCCGCACTGACGCACAAACACACCGTGGCCTAATCAGAGCTGACAGGGCTTATGGCTGAAGAAGATGGGAGCCGAAAAATAGTGCAGAGTAGCCAGATAGAAAAAGCAGAGGTGGAGCGGCAACAGTGATTAAGGAACAAATGTGCTCTTTAAAGTTTTAAAGTGAAGCGCTGGCAGAATGGCAGCCTCCCTCTTTAGTCCCTTCCCTCCTGTAAAATGGATGATGTCCATGGAATATTAGACTTGGCGTGAATATGCGCTTTAAGAGGTTTAGACTTGTCATCTTAATCTCGGGCGCCTCGGCACTGAACTCTGCACCCGTAAAACCCCGTAGCGTTACGGTACTCAAAAACTTTTTAAAAAAACCCATTGATCGACCAGAATGATGGACCACTATGTTTAGCCACAACAAAATACTCTGGTGGTCATTTCAGGTCACGGTGTTTTATACATTTCTTCCAAATACCCAACATAGAGGCACAGGAAACAATATTCTGTTTTGCAGTGAAAAGTAAACGAGTCCTTCTTGGCTATGGAGACAAAATCGTCAGTATGATAACAATTGGGAAAGAAATTGTTTAGAATTGCAAATGAACATAGTTTAACCTATATCATAAATCACAGCCGTTTGCTCAAAGACATACCTTTTCCAAATCTTTAAAGTGATATAAAAACATGGCAGACATACACAATGTCCACTGAAACTCCAAACGTCCACGTAGAAAGAGAAGTTAACCAGTGTGCAATAAGATTAAATGAAGTTTATTTAGGCATGCAGACTTTGAAATATGATGTCAGGTGGCACAATTAACCACTGTATCCATCTGGTACCATTCAACCAACCAGGCCCAGATTTAACACGTATACATAATCTGTAAGTGAATTGAGACGTTGCAGCACTGTTTGTTTGTTGGAAGCCCAATTCATATCATTGCTCCAAGCCTGCATCTGCCATCTTATTCCTGTCCATTACAATAAAAAAAAAAAGAATAGTTAAATAAATAGATAAGGCTTTTGCACCTGCAGTTCTGTAACATCTTTTTTGAATGCAATATTGGGAGTCATTTAAAACTTCAGTCTAGCAAACAGCCGCACAGTGCAACGTGACGTCAACAGCAGAGCTCGAATTCACCACCAGAGGGCGGTACTTAACAGGGTACCAGAATAGAACCAGCCTGAAAGCCATCGCAGGGGAAATCGTGCGGATGGATGGATGTTCGTGTAAATAACATTTCACAGCATACTCTCATCATAATTGCCTATTGATCAGCAAAATCACAACGAAACGAAAACAAATTAACGGCGCATCCTCCAGTTCAATTTGTTCTTGAAATAAAACGCAAATTAAAATATATTGCACTTTATTCAAATGTTTTATAAGTAACATTGTCGTGGTCATTATTGTCTGGATGTGAAAAGGACCTTGAAACAAAAGGGCATGCACGTGCACTTAACACACGCGCATAAATACCGACAAGAGCTGAACATCCTCTTGAGAAGACAGGCTTAAACCCTTTTACGCATGACTCCCCTCCTGTTTGAGTTATGCAAATTATTTATTCATAGCCACATCTCGGCTCACTTTTGCTAACCATATGTTTTAAAGGTCAGGGAGTATTAAGTGTCCAGAAGTTTTGGAAGGTTCAGGGATCACCAAAGTCACGGAGATTAATCCCCTCAAGGGAAAAAGACTAAATTTAAAATGCCCTAAACCTGTGCAAAAATATGATGAGTATTCATGTGAACTTAGCAATCATCGCTTATTTATTCGTCAGCAAAGGCAGTACATGCATCTTCACTTCACACAGTGCATGTAACCAGCAGGACTTTAATAATATGATGTTCTGCAGTGGGCTTTTATCTTCCTCGTCAGGTTTTGACCAGGAAGCATAACTTTGGATGGGAGGAATTCAAATATGAAGTCTTTTTGAAAACTAGATGTGACACACGAGCTTTTATGGCTGATTGTTTCTAACTTAGCCGTATTCCCATTTATTAAGATGTCGCTTTAAAATTTTTATACATATTGGCTAATGTGCTGTATGATTGTGTGTGAGCGAGAGACATGCCTCAAGAGAGCTGGCCGGAGGAGCTTCTCTCAGCCGAATTAGCAGCGCATCAATCTTTCATGGGCCGTGTTTTTAAGTTGCATCCATCTCTCTTGCCCGCGTTCCATTTGATGCGACTACTTTTGCCACATTTCGCATTCACTGAGACAAACAAACATCCTCTCCTTCCATATTCATTTTTATCCCGCTCTTTCTTTTCATGTCCAACTTTCCCTGCATGGGAATTGAACGCAGGCATACTTGAATGCCACCGCAAATAAAATGACATCAACGTTGGTCATGTCTGCTCAAACGGGAGGCAATGCTGCTGATGGTCAGAATACGCACGTTGAGACACAGGCGGCTGTTACTTCGTGTCACATCACAATCATGGCATTTATGGCTTGTCCCACCGCTTTCTGAGCAGATGGGAGAAAAAAAAAAGAAATCACTCTTAACGCACGCCACACTACAGAATAATCAATAAGGATAATCCTTTCGAGAGAGCTGACAATCGGGCCTTTGCCGACTTTGATCTGAAGGGGGGGAGAAGAGCTTAAATTTGTCGATATGTGTGTACTCCGCTTTAGAGTGAGAGATGCGGTGTGACAAGTGGACAAGGAAAACACAGTTTCACACCGCCGCATGCAAAGTCTTTTCCCAATTATCTTTGGGTTGGATTTAACGCAGATGTTTCTCCCCCGGGCCATCGTGACCATGTCAAAGTGTCCTTGAGCAAGACACTGAACGCCCAGTCGCTCCTGATGCTGCGTCATCAGTAGGTGAATGAGGTTCAAAGTGGAACGCGCTAGTGACATCCCATTTACCAGAACGCAAAATAGAATAACCTAAACTTCTTATTTTTGACAAAATTGGATGCATGGCTTGGAAAATTTCATGAGGGTTCGGAGGTAGGCGAGGTACACCCAGAACAGACATCTCCCACATTTTAAAAAAGCCTCTCTTTTTAAGTGCAGGTACTTCCAGGTCGGGTTGGGAGGCTTGATGGAGTTCTGCTGCTTTTAAAATCATTCTGTTATACGCAGCCTGCGGTTTTGTGTAAAAGTTAAATACATGCGAATGGTTGTCCAACTCTATTTGCGTCCCGTGAGTGATGGGGCAGCCATTCCCGGGTCAAGTCCGCCGCTCCACAGAAGGCAGCTGGGATAGGTTCCAACAGCGGTAGCTGGATGGATGGATATAAGGAATGCCTTGCCATCGTATAATTCCGGACGGCATTCCGGCATTCTATAAGAAGTCACGGCCTCAACAGATAGAATGAATTCCATTTGTCCCATCACATCTATTTCAAACTGTTACTACATCTGCTGTCTGCCTGAGGTTGTCTGATACGGCAGTCTGTGTCCGACAGCATCAAAACCCCGCTGAGTGGATGTCAAATGAACATCCAGCCATTCGAGAGGTTGGCTCAGTGACCAGCGACATGATTAGAGCTAATCTGATTCCGTAATTACGACCTCCCTACAAGTAACCGTATGCATTTACAGTATGTTTGTGGATGTAGTCCAGTGATGGAAGTGGGCTCATGGAGGTTTATTATTTTTATTTTTTTGCTATCATGAATATTTGATTCATCATACCGTTCCCAGAAGGTTACATCCAAATGAAAGCTAAACAACATCAACTACAAGAGCATGCGACAACAGAAAAAGCTTCTTACCTAAATGGCGTCTGTGTCGTGAAGCACCGGCCTTGAGTGTGAATGAGGGGCGTGAATATGAAGCATCGTGCGTTCTCTGTGTGCGCGTGTGTGTGTGTGTGTGTGTGTGTGTGTGTGTGTGTGTGTGTGTGTGTGTGCCTCATTGTTTTCTGAATTTACAAACTCTTAAATAAATCGAAATTTAAGGGGAAGTTGAGAGAGATAAGCTAAAGAATGAGTTAGGTTGCAATGATCGGATTGTACAGATCAGGGAAAATAAGATCTTACAATATGTGAGCTGTATAAAAACATGCCTTTGTAATCACTTTTAATTCACATCGACTGAGCTATTATCTGAAGAATACATTTTTTAATGTTATTATGGTGTCTGCTATCATTGATTATTCAAGTCTAAATATTTTCAAACTTATAAAAAAAAACCGGTAAACTTTAGATTGGCACGACTAATCACTGCTCCTAACGATGGTGTTGCTTCTTCCTCTTCCTGCAATTTGTGAAGAATGTCAATTAAATGGTTCAATGTTAAGTGCGGATGATTCAGAGCACGGTGTGATACGCACCTGAATATCCTCATGTTTTTTCAGGATGACTCATTTTTATAAATGAAATGTTCACGGTCCCTGAAGGCTCTTGGTAAGGAAAGTGCATCGTGAACGTAGCGAAATGAGCATGCAAACATTTTTTTAAGGACATTATTATTAAACTGGGCACTCAAGTCAATTTGTGGGGGGAGAAAGAACCATAACACGAAACATCAACATCACATCAAACAACATGCGTTTTAGATTAGCCAGGTTGATTTGAATATGCTGACTGTGTGTGTGCCTGTGTGTGTGTGTGTGTGTGCGTGTGTGAACTTGCTGTGGTGTCCTAGTTTTTGCCTTGCACTCTTTGAGGTCAAATAAGGAGCAAACATTCAGCATCGGGGAAGGAAGAATCATAGCCACAGGCACGCAGGCCCACTCACATATTAGGGCACACACACGCATATATATACACACACACTACAGCACAATTAATTCATGTTCTAAAATCACATTGGTCGTGCTGTCAGGACACATTTTCATAGATGCAATTAAAACAACACCATCGTCCACATAATCAATGACAGCCACAAAACCAACTGCCCGCCCGTTTCCACCCGCAGGCTGGTGTGAAACACGGCACACACGCACGCGGAGGCCAGAAAACCGTCGACAGAAAATGTATCCGCGGCTACTTAAGTTGAAATGCACGTCTGGGTGAGTGTCGATGTCACAGGACAAACATAAGGGCGGAGGAGAGAGACGTGTCACATACCATCACTGTAGCGGGGGTCAGTGTGTGTTGACGTCGCCAAGATGGACACGACTGCCAGCAGGTCTGTACGTACACACACGTACGCACGCTCCCCCCGCACGCACGTTTTAGGCAGGCCAGATATCATGGGACCTGACGCGGGCTTGGGGTTTTCGTCCGATTGGCTGTCAGATGCACTCTGGTTGTCCTGACAACGGCTGTCCCTGCGGGACACCGGCGGCCTGAGCTCGGCAGAGGAGCGAGCTGCGACACGGACGGGGGGGGAGCGGGGAAACTTCTAAAGCTCGGCTTTCACGTTCTGATATTATTGGTTTGTCGCAGCATTTGATCTTTGTTTTAGGTAAAACTGTGATCAGGATTGGACACGCCCCCCCCCCCGCAGGATGAGGATTCATTATTTCTGCAGGGGAGAGCCGATGGTGGTATAATTGGCTAGAGAACACAAAGCAACGGTAGATTCGGGTGATTTAACATTTGTCTGAACCTCCTCAATCATTTATGCGCACAGCCATAAGGTGATCTAACTTTGCCAACCGGCACAGGGGTCAACAGTGACACAAATTATAATATATCAACATTTATGTTTTACTTTGTGAGTTCAACATACACTGAAAAAAAATTCTTCAATTTACTCAATTTTATTTGGTCAAGTGGTTGCACAGATTAGAACCATCTAGATTTAGATACTCAAGATACTTAAAAAAAATGTATCCTGATCCAGGGGATTTTATTTCGTGAAAACCACTTGACAGAATAACGTTTTGTGAATTCAACACACCATTTTGTTTTTGGGGTTTTTTTTTTGTAGATTCTAAAAAACACGTAAAAACTGGCACCTCTTCATGTTTGTGCTGGGGCAAGTCTAGTTTACCTTGTTTAGGAACACAAGGCGCTCCGGTGGACCGGCGGCGTTTTCACTTACACGCCTCCGGCGCACCGAAAAATTTGGTGACGGAAAGTAG